CTTCCTGGCCATCCCGTGTAGATGTCAGTGAAACTGTTGGGAAGACAACGTTGGAGAAACGTGAAGATTTTATTTGTACTGTATAATCTGCAGATTTTGACAGAAATCTGCAACTATCCTTTGAAGCACTGCTCCTCTAAAACAGCAATAAGGATCATTATTAGGTTATATGTAAATAACAAAAGAACTTTATAACTTGAAGCAAAATTGGGAAACGTAAAGTCCAAAACAAGTCTTCATATTAACTTGAGGGTTCACACTACAGCGCATTTGGTAAATGGACTGGTTCTTATATAGCGCTTTTCTACTCTTCTGAGCACTCAAAGCGCTTTACACAACTTGTGCATTCACCCATTCGTACAAGCACATTGTTCTATAGTATTCACACACATTCATACGCCGATGGATGCATCGGAGAGCAATTTGCCCAAGGATATTTGGCATGCAGACTAAGCCAGGAATCGAACCACCAACCTTCCGATCAGTAGATGACCTGCTCTACCGCCTAGGCTACAGCCACCCCGTTTGCTGTCACATTTTATTTGTAGTGTGAACAAGCAGACAAAAAAATCGGATTTGATCAAAAAATTGGAACTGAGCATTAAGACAGTGCAGTGTGAATGTAGCCAAACATATAAATACCTGTGACTCTCCAGCTGCCCCACCCAGAGCAGACTGTAATCGTTGCACTAGACTTGCCTAAGCACGTTCAGACACTCAGTATGTTTGGGTGTGGCTGACTCCAACTAAGACTAAAGGCTGGATCAGCTGGTTCAACAGGTCAGCAGCTTGTATGATTTTCCTCTACGCAAATATCAAACAAAGTCCTGTACACACAGATAACACAGAGTGTACTGTACACAGTAATCGTGTTAAAACGGTCTAAAAACTGATTTTATAACTCTAAACAAACACAAACCTTACAAGACATAATAACAGTGTTGGAGTGTTAAAGTAAACCAGCTTTAAACCATAAATCTTTTTTCTGAGTATTTCCAGAGTGATTTCTGATGACATCAAACTGTTTGTGTTTGTTGTCACAGCAGCAGCCATCAGTGACATCAGCACACAAAAGCAACACAACAGCAGGTTCAAATACACACAAATTCATTTCTAATGTTTGAGCAGTTTAAGAGCTTTAAAATACTGATCATAAGTTTCAAACAAACAACATATAAGAATATAAAATAAAAATAATTCAAAGACTATTTTCTGTTAAGAAGTTTCTGGCTGTTATTACATTTTTTTAAGGTGAAGATTGTCACAGAGAAAACAACAAACATGACTCTCCAGCTGCCCTGGAGCAGACTGTAATCATTGCTCTAGATGTGCTTCAGCATGTTTCAGACACACCTTCATGCTCAGTTTAGCTGTTACCTGTGTGCTCTAAAAGTCTCTCCTGTCTCCTTTCCTAACCTCCTTTCTCTGACCTCAGTGAAAACACCACTGAGATGAAGGAAAGGTCGCTAGGAGAACTGATAAGGAGTTAGGAAATAACAGAGCCGTGTGCTGAGAATGACCTTACTCTCATTTCTCCTTAACAACGTGATGTTGGATGTCCAAAGGGTAAAAACTACAATGACCAAAAGATGGACTACAAAACATGCATCTTACTTTTCCACAGTGTGTTCTGACCCTGGTGTTTCAAAAATGTGTTCTCACTACAAAGGCTGGAATTTTAAAAAAACAGGAAGATTTAGGGTCAGATTTACTAACGTGCAGCAGCATCACATCTGTATCTGTAAGAGTTTCACTGTCAGGACAAGAAAACTTAAATGAGTCACACAGATGTAAATTACAAAGACTGTTTCACTGTAACTGCAGGAAGTTGAACTGTGAAACATTCCTGCTTTATGCCTGTTGTGCCTGTGGCAGTTGCTGATGGGAGCAGTTATTACTTGGAGGGAGATGTTATCAGAGTTATCAGAGCTTCATCGGCTCAGAGTCGTTATTGCAGCACCAAAACTTTGTCTCTGTCAGTAAACTGGAATGAGCTGGATCTGAAACAAAGGCAGCTGTTACTGTGTTAGATTAACGTCTGCATGTTGAAAGAACTTATTAAAAGTAAAGATGTGCACATACAGGCACGAGTCACAGTGACGGCTGATGATCTGACAGTGAGTCATGCTCTGTGCTCTCCTGCACATCAGAGAGGTCACTTTATAATCATGCAGCTCTCACAGAGGCTCAGTCCTCAGAGTCCTCTGCACAGTGCTCAGGGATTTCCTCATCTTTCATGTTGTCTGTCTGTTTGAATTCAAGCATCATCGTCAATAACTGAGCGTCTGACAGCCTCAAACAACCAGAGCCTGAAAATAAAAAGCCTCTTTGGTGGAATTATACTCGCATTTAAAATATATGTAATTTACTTCATTTTCAGAGTTTGATTCCTTTTCCTTTTCTTAAATTAGTTTTCAACGCTTTAAACAGTCGAGTAGAGGGGTGTCAAACATGAGGCCCGGGGCCCAGGATCGGCCCAGCAAAAGAGTCCATTTTGGACGAATGGAAGTTTTTGGAGAATGTGAAGGAGAAACTCTTCCTCTGCCATGACCACTCATACTAAACTAAATGAATGAAAATTCCTGTTTTTTTTTTTTCACAAAAATTCAATTTCTGTGCATTAACAAAAACTTTAAAAAATATTTTTATGATGACCTACATTCCTCTGAACCTTCAGTTTGGTTATTTATTGATTTCCATCCTTGTTCTTAATGCTTTGAACATCACAGCACTATGAACTGTGGGTAATCCCTCAGGTCCACAGAGATGAGGACTTATAGAAAATGTGAATAAGGACTCAGAGTGTGTGCAGAGAGCCGTCATGCACTTGATACCATGACAACAGGACGGCCCTGAGCCCTCAGAGGCCGACACAAAGCTGTGACTGTTTATCTGCACGTCTCAAACACTCCTCCATTTTGTCTGCAGGCTGAGTGATCTGACTGAGCTCAGCCTCCATTTTCTACAGGGAGACGCTCAGAGAGGCTTTCACTTTCATTTCACAGGAACAGCTTTGCTTCTGTTTTACATGCAGGTGCTGCACAGAACACATCCTGTTCAACCTGTTTGTGTGGCTGACTCCATCTTAGACTAAAGGCTGGGTCAGCCGGTTCAACAGATCAGCAGTTTGCATCATTTTCATCTACGCAAAAACCAAACAGACCTGTACACAGTGAGTTTAGTACACTGAGTGTGTTATCTGTCAGTAATCGTGTTGAAAGGCTCTAAAACTGAGTTTATAACCCTACACAAACCCAAACCCTGTACTTATCTCCACCATGTAACCTGCTAACATCCACCTGCTGCTGACCCATGATATGGAGATATGGTACTCTGATGTCATTGAGATAAGATGGGCCTGATTATTAAAGGCAGTGACGCGTTACTGTAATCAGATTACTTTTTTCAAGTAACAAGTAAAGTAAGGGATTACTATTGCAAAAACGGTATTAAGATTACCGTTACTTTCCCGTAGGAACGCTGCGTTACTGTGTTACTAAAACCGTGATCTTTTTGTGAGAATGTCTCATGACAGTGACGTAAGCGAGTGCGACGTTCGTGACAACAGCTGTGTGCAGATCAACAATGGATCGCATATCGAGTGCGGGAGAGAGTATGAGCGTGCAGCGTTTAAAGCGTGGAAGTACTGA